GCTTCTATAGAAGCCGTCGCCTGCCTTGTCTGTCGTGTGAATCGTAAATAAATAAATAAATACAACGGACATCCCAAGCTAGGGCTGGGTCGAGGACAGACACGTCCCCACCTTTGCAGGATTTTGCAAAAGCGAGGGGGGAGGGCGCATCGCCGCGCGGAGAGGGCTGGGCACAGGGCACAGGGGATCTCTCTCGCATAGGATATGCACTCGGCGGCACGAGGGCAGGGCTGGGCGTCCTATTTGTGCTCCCCCCCGGACCCCTCGCTCTCGGGCACTAACCATCTGACCACTCATCGACGGGGCTTGGCGAGCGGCCGCGCTGCGGGGTAGGGCTGGTGAGAATGGGCTCTGGCCACTCGCCCGTGCGGTTGTAACCGCGCATCAGCCGAACGGAGGCCTCGACCGCCCCTCGCGGCAAGCTCTCGAGCATCTCGAGCAGCTCGCCCGCCGCCATCGCCGCCTCGAACTGCTCCCTCATGCCGAGCGCGCCGCATACCCTGCGGACCGCCTCCTGCTGCACCTCGTCCGGCGTATCGGTTTCATAGCCGGACGAGTCAGCGGAGGCGGCCCGCTTGGCGGGCGGAGAGTCGGGCGACGGCGAGCGCGACTGGCGCGAGGGCCCGCTGCCGCGCGCGGACAGCGCGTTCTTGTCAACGAGACGGGGTCCAGCATCGGCACGGCCCCTGGCACCGCGGCCCTTGCCGCGCTGCTGCTGCCCACGCTTCCTGCCCGGGTTAGGGACAGTGAAGGAGCAGCCGCTCACTCCGCCGCCGCTGGGCGGCGGCGGCACGCGCGCGGCGGCGGCCGGGCCCGCAGGCGCGGCGGGCTGGCCACCCGCGGTGGCACCCTGCGGCTGCGATGCGGCTGCGGCGGCGTACGTCTTGGGCGCCGGCTCCGCGGCTGGCGGCGCTGCGGCAGGGGCGGCCGGGCGGCGCCGCAGGGCTCGCGCTCGCAGGCGGCTCCGTGGCCTGCGCCTGCCGCTCGTGGCGTACAGCGCGCTCGAGCTGCGAGTGCGGGTGCAGCTGTACGATGACGTCGCCGCTCTGCGTCGCGGTGAAGGAGACCGAGTACGGCGCTTCGCCGTCGTTCTTCTTCTCCGCGTAGACGAGCGCGTAGTCGCACACCTGTCGTTGGTGGTCAGTGAAGATGGTCTCTGTGCAGCGCTCGGCGGAGCCGACGCGAGAGAAGTGCCGCCTGAACGCCATGCGTTCAGGCGCTGTTTGAAATTCGTGTGAATCGTGCGTGTGAATCGTGGACGGCGGATTCAAAAATTCTTTTCTTCGCGATGTCCAAATTTGACGCCGCCGCTCGTGCCGCCTCGCCTCCGCCTCCACCGCCGCGCCCTCGCCAGACGCGCCGCCGCCCGCCCGCCTCCTCGACCTCCCCAGGGAGCTCCTCGAGCGCGCCCTCTCTCGCTGCGTCAGCCCCCTCGACATCGCTCGCGTCTCGGCCGTCTCGCCGCTCTTTCACTCGCTCGCGGAGCAGGGCATCCGCTTGTGGGCGCAAGAGCGCGGCTTCGAGCTGCCAGCGCAGCCCGAGGGCGAGAGCTGCGCCGTGCGGTGGGTGTGCTATTTTGCGCTGCTGTGCGAGTCCAACCCGCCGGCGAGGGCGGCGGCAGGCAAAACGCACAGCGTCTTTATCGACGGCGAGGGGCGGCTCTCGTCGTGCGGCTCGGCGGATGACGAGCCAGGCCTCCTCGGTCACGGCGAGGGCGTGACGGGACTCAACACGCCGACCCGCCTCTCCTCTTCGCTGGGCGGCGAGCGTGCCGTGAGCGTGTATGCTGGACTCTACCACAGCCTCGCCCTGACCGCCGACGGCGCCATCTGGAGCTGGGGCGTTGAAGACTTGGGCAACGGCGACATGCAGAGCCAGCTGCTGCCGAAGAAGATCGAGGCTTTTGCTGACGAGCGCGTCGTCGCTGTGTCGGCTGCAGCCGGCCACGACCTCGCCCTCACCGCCGACGGGGCTGTCTGGAGCTGGGGCGATGGCTACTCTGGCCGGCTGGGCCACGGCGACATTCAGGACCAGCTGCTGCCCAAGAAGGTCGAGGCCTTGTGGGGGGCACCGCGTCGTTGCTGTGTCGGCTGGAGGCTGTCACAG